ATTAGTGTAATAACAGCAAAAGTATTATGCTGGGAGGAGCCATTTGGGTGACGGAGGTGACGTCATCTGCATGATTTGTCAGGCTGTGTAGAGGGTGGCCACTATGCTCTTTGGGCACTCTACAAGCTTAGGTGTACAGTTACGGTGCATACAACATGTAGATACTTATATATATAATATGTGTATATAGTGTAATAACACTGCAAACAGTATTGTTGGGGGGAAAAGTTTAGTGCGTGTGACCTTGAATGAGTGAGGGAGCCGCCAGCTGACTGTGTGTGTAGCGAAGACTCTTAGTGCCTGAATTAACTATACCAGTTTAGTTGTACAGTTGTGGTGAACAAAACATGTAGTTTCTTATATATAACGTCTGTATATTGTGAATAAAATATAAAACAGGATGGTGGGAGAAAAAAGTGGGCGAGTGAGGCGTTGTTGAGGGAGTGGCAACGAGTGGCTGGCTGGTGTGTGGCGGTCACTCCTCGTTGCTTTTCGACTCTCAATACCAACTTAGTGGTTTGTTATGGTGAACAAAACATGCAGATACTTATATATAACGTGTGTATAGAGTGTAATAACAGCAAAACTATTTGTTTATTGTTTTATGAACATAATAATTGAATCACTAATATGCACACCATACGTTTGAGTATAGCGATTATTCACCACTTTTATTATATAAATATATTACAATACACACTATTGAATAATATTTCTGCAAAAAAAAAATTAAGAAAAAATCAATCAGAGACATTGAAATAATTAGGTAATAATATCTTTGTGGCAACTCCCACCTGTCAGCGCGGGTGATGCTGACCGGCTCTGACGACCACTCTGCCAACGCCCACTTTTTGCCATACTTCCTCAGTCTATTGCACCCAAAATATGTCACCTACGATTTTTTTTGTATTTTTCCTGTACTCAGGGAACAAAAATTAACATTTTTAGAAGACGAAATATTTTTTTAGAATTTTTTTTCTTGTGCACAGGGGTGTAAATGTCCTCAGGACCCTTTAGCAGTGGAAGGGTTAAAGTTGGCGGCGCGCATGACGGGCGTGGGACAGTGTTAAAACATTATTTAATGTTAGCTTGTGTAGGCAAAGGAATAAAATAAATAAATAAATAAATATGGGTGTAAGCAACTCTGATACTCTTACCTTTTTGCCAACCAAGATATGTTTCAGTGGCAAAATTCTTTCCAAGCCATCATGATTTCTGGACTAACACAATTCAAACTACCTAGGTTTCACTACATAAGCACTACCTTCACTCCATGAAAACTATCTTTGCTATGCAGGAATTGTCTCAATCACAGTACAGTGGCCAACACCATATTCAAATCACTACTTATTTTGCCTGGATTCATACCAAACGAAAAGATATATGGGTACATGGCAGAATGCCATCATATTCAGAAATTTGAAAATAGAGTGATTCACTGACCCAGAGAGGCCTAGTTACACAGGTCAGGCTCATATAGACGAGACCTGAAGGAGCATCTCATGCACACCAATTCTGTACATGTACCCCAATGTTGAAGGAGATCTTCAAGCCTCCTCCTAAACTGTCTTGAGTTTGAAAATGGGCCTTCTTCTGTGGTTACCTCACCCCCCCTCCCCTCACATCCCTGGATTGATAAAATTATGGAACATCCTTTCAAAATGTGCCCTTCAAAGACAAGAAATAATTTGGACACCGTCTACACAACCAGTAAACCCAAGAGAAAACACCATGATTGCAGTAGCTCAAAGTGACAAGGACAGCAGTGAATGGATGACCTTCAAGGAAAGAAACACATTTACTAAGCGTAAGTACAAAATGTTGGCAACAGTGTGGCAGTACTACAAGAAATGAATGAGTACAAAATACCAGTAGGGGGCTGGATGCTCATGGAACACTGGTGGCACAAGAAACCTTACAAACATCCCTGCAGAGTTATGCTGGTGCACAGGCACAATGGAGAGCACTCAAATGTCCAGATTAACTTCCAGAAGATTCATTTATGAAAATTCTAAGTATTTCAAGCCCTCCTTGGTATCACAATTATTTACCATGAATAACATATGTTAACTACCAGTTGACATGCTAAGCAACCTCCACAAGATGGGAGCACCCAACCCACTACAGGGTTCCTTGACAGCAAGCTACTTCACTCACACTCACAGGAAAAGTAGGGGCACAAGAAAGGGAATAGGTGCAACCAAGTGATCTAAGACAGAAGCTTTCTATACAGTATTTACTCAAAAGCTCTATTTCTATGCTATCCCACTGTTGCTATATCACGTTAGGATAGGATATGGAATGAGAAAATAAAACACAGGACAGACTCACCAGTGCTGCAGAATGATGGATCCCCAGAGGCAAGTATACAAGTATAGCTACCAGTACAGGAAATGAAATAATGAAAAAGGCTTTCCACCACTACACATTAGTGATGCAGGCAGGGAAGCATAGGAAGAATGTGCAGCAAGGTGTGGAACAATTTCCAGAACCATCTAATAAAGAGGGAGCACAGCCGGTCATAAACAAGAGGGTGGCTTGTATGTGGCAAGATTTTGGATAGCACATGCCCTAGCACATACTTGAAGTTGATTCACTTTAGCAACACTGCAAAGCAGCTTAGAAATGCATGTGTAAGGGAAGAGGGAAGATACAGTAAAGCAAATTCACTATCTTCCCTCAAAAGATTTTTATTATAAGAGTAAACACTATAGATGACTCGGCAAACCACCAACTGATGCAGCCCAGGTCTTTCAATGGACCAAAGAAAATATGTTCAATGAAGAAAAGTTCCAGCTCCTGTGTCATGGTATAAATGAAGTCAAAATGGAAACAATCTCAAGGAAACTTCAAGGTAAGGTGATGAGAAAAATTTAAATTTGATCACAGTTTGTCAACAAGGTAACTAATTTTGCCCCTGAAAAACACAACCTGATAGTAAAGCTGTAATTATTATATACTTCAAGGATGTACATACATAATCTATCAAATCTCAGTAAGAACACAGTTTGTATTTAATTATCCTAGTGTAAGCGTAGTTATAAGCATAGTTTCAGAATGAAAGCTACCCACTTAGTGCCCCATAATCCCTGGTTGATGGGGTTCTGGGAGTTCTTCTCCCCAAGCCCGGCCCGAGGCCAGGCTTGACTTGTGAGAGTTTGGTCTACCAGGCTGTTGCTTGGAGCGGCCCGCAGGCCCACATACCCACCACAGCCCGGTTGGTCCAGCACTCCTTGGAGGAATAAATCTAGCTTCCTCTTGAAGATGTCCACGGTTGTTCCGACAATATTTCTTATGCTCGCTGGGAGGGTGTTGAACAACCGCGGACCTCTGATGTTTATACAGTGTTCTCTGATTGTGCCTATGGCACCCCTGCTCTGGCACCCCTATAATCTATCATGAAACTTTTAAACTTCTGATGGTTTGGGCATAAACTACCTTTATTTAACCTATATCATTCATCTACTATATTCACAAAAGATAATGCTTTTTAAAATTCTGTTAGGATCTGTTTTCTTGGCTTGAATCTATGGTCTCTTATTATTAGAGTTCAAGGTTTCAAACATTTCCCCCATAACAACTATGCCAATTCTTGTCACAATTTTGTGATACTCATAGTACAGTACAGGTAATACTTTTCTTGCCTACTCATTTTGGCCTGTTTAACACTTCAAGCCTTTTCTCATAGCTTGTGTTTTATGTTAGGGAGGGAGAGAGGGAATTATCAAGGGAAAGTGCCAAGCCATTATAGTCATAATGGCTTGGCACTTTCCCTTGATAATTCCCTCTATGTACTATGTATGAGAGTATTGGAAGGGGTCAGGATAAGGATTTGGAATGGGACTGGGGGAAAGGAATGATGTCCAACTACTTGAACAGTCGAGGATTGAACGCCGACCTGCATGAAATGAGACCGTCGCTCTACCATCTACCATCAGGGAGCAACTTATTAGCACATCATTTGCACCTTTAATTTACTTATGTGATTTTGGAGATATGGGCACCACACGACTACTGTACTGCACATTCTAATTTGGATCTAATACATGCCATAAACAATTTTTTGTACCATTTCTCCATCCATGAATAAAATAGTGATGCTGTATTTGGCAAGCATAGCTTTGGCTCTTTTGACTACTCCCTTTGATGGCCCTCTCACAATTTCTGTTGAACCAATCCTGTTTTCTGGTTCTGCACCTCTTTTGGTATAAATTCTTTTGTACCTTCATCGTATATTTCACAGAATTTGGCATACATCTTGTTTACTTCCTTACCTAGCAACAAGTTTTTCCAATTAAATTCATTAAAGAATTTGCGAAGTTCCCCATAGTGTCCTCTCATGAAATGAAGTTCATCAACTGTTTCCATGTCCCAATTCTCTTCTAGATTATATCGCATGGCATATTTAATTTCCAACAGGACATTATCACTCTTTCCCAGGAAGGAAGATACTGGATGTCAAATATCTCTTCCTCTTTCCTGATGAATTTCCCATTTTCACCAGGATGTTTCATAAATTCAGTATTGACGGAACATCCCCTTCCCTCATTCTTGTGGCCTCCTTGACGTGTTGATACATGAATGTCTCCAGAATGAGGTTTACAAATCTACCTGTTCAAATGTCCTCCATGCGTATGTGTGCGTGTGTGTGTTTCATTTAATAAACTCAGAGCAAGCGATCACCACTGGTTGACAGCAATAGCATAATTTATGTATTAGCCAACAATAACAGGCTGCCATATAGAACACTTGAAATGCTTGCTACAGCATGCTAAAATTAAAACCACCTGGAAACAGGTGTGAAAAAATTATCAAAATTATCACTACTCAAAAGCTAGTTTTCTCAACACTGAAAATACTGGTACAGTATTAGAAAAAATTAATTGTTATAATATTGGACATTGTAATTTTAAGGAAATAATATTGTATTGCACATGTCCTTTGAAACTATTGAACAGTTATACCAATAGGCAATATATAGAAGAAAAAAAATGACTTACTACTGCCAGAATTTTGGCGATGACTCTTGTGAATACCTCTTGCAGGAGGATCATGAGAAGTTGTACTCCCATTTCCTCCTGCAGTGCTGGCTAGCCCTTCCCAACCATTTGCTGTTAAGGCATTTGTAGACGAGAAGTGTCGAGATGCCAGAGTCTCTGCACCAGCATGGTAGTCATAAACAAACACAATGGCTGCGAAATATTTTTTCTAATTTTAAGAAGTGAAAATCAGTACACGGGAGAATGCATATATGCAAGAATAATACAACAAAAATGCAGACAATTACACACGAGGAAACATATGTAGATACACAAGCAAATAGGTAGAATAAGAGCCCAAAACATTAAAATACTGCAAAATGGCATAGCAGGACAAGAAAATTTCATAAATAGAGAAATAAGCAGATCGACTGAGTTCTTAAAGGATGCAGTACTGTATATAAATATTGCTAAAACTTCAAAAAAAATAATTATGATTTAGGTAAATAAAGCTGGAATACAAGCCGAGAGCTACTTCTAAAACCACAACTATAAAAGGAAGGAAGAGAGAAAACAAGATGGAGGGACCAATAGAAAATTGAAGGGTAAAGGAGAGAAACTCAATATATATTACCCCTATAGTAATGCTAAGAGAAATACTGTATTGTAATGTTCTGGTTTTGTGGAATGTCTGTGTAGAAGAATTACCACTTGTACCGAAATGACAGTGATAAGCTATTTTAAGCATCCCAATTTGCCCTAATTTTAACAGTATAATACATCTACCGTGCCATACAGACAGGCTTATGTATGTATGTACTTGCTCAACAGTATGTAAAAAAATGTGGTAAAAAACTGCATGAAGCTCAAATTCAATCACATCCAGGGTATGTATTTATCTTTTAGATAGCCTCCCCTAACCTCTAAAAAGAGGAGAGGAAAGGGGAGGGAGGGAAGAAGAGGGAGTGAGAGTAGGGATTTTGGGGGAAAGACTAGAAGGGGAGAAAATAATGGAGAGGGAGGGAGAAGCAGAAGAGGGGGAGATAGGAGATAAGAGGGTGGGAATAGGGGGAATGATAGAGACATGACAGAGTTGAGATAGGGAGAATGGGAAAGTGGAGAGAGACCCGTGCAAAGCCTGGTACCCTATCTAGTACTAAAATAACAAACTGTCAAAATAAATCAGTTTTGCAATATTTTCTTTATTTAGCTTTTCAGCTATCAGGAGATATCAACTGATCCAGGTAATTGAGGTTGCACTAAACTGAAGTAGGGGCATACAGAGGGTGGGAGAGAATTGAGTATGGATAGTGTAGGGGTAATAAAACTGTGGACTAAAGTGGCCTCAAACACCACTTCCTTCATTTCATTCTTGCATACACTAAAGCATTTTAAGTTTCAGGCAAACATTATGAAGCATTTTCCAAACGTTGACTTTGCAATTAAGTTACACTGACTAATGAAAGAAACCTTAGTTTCATGATTCTCATGCAAGTGTAGTCAGTTTCTAGTTAAAATTAAGAGGTTCAATAAATTGTATAGTAAACAAAAAATTTAATAGCAATGAGGCTACAGTGCTTAATATATATTTAAAAGGAATGGGTGGTATTGAAAGTCAAAATTTCAGGTTCAACATTAAATAGAAACCTATAGGAAGAATGAAATGAATGAAAATATATAAATACTAAATCAAAAAGGTATGCATAATAAAGATACTTAACTAGGCCAATACAGGTAAGGTTGTCTTTATTTTTATGTGAAGCTGTATTTTGGGTTTTCCTCAATTTATTTAATGACTTAGTAGTAACTTTAAGAACCATCACATGATAGAAGTTAAGTAGGTAAAGAATTTAAAGACACATGATTTCAACTGAAGCTAACCCTCCCATTAACCATTACAGGTTTTATATACCAGATTTGAAACAAATTACCCAAAAGACAATATGTGATGCATTTGATCAATATACAGTATTAATGCTCAAGTTATCACACACTAATCACACACACACACACACTTATCACACACTTGGCTGCAAAGAAACGGAGATAACATCTAGGTCAGAAAGAGCTGTAGAAGAAGCAAAAGTAGTAGATAAAATTGTTGGCCTCGTGGAAGGTCTTACAACCATAGAGAATGTGTGCGACTACAGGAGAATAGGCAGATATGTAAAAGGGAAAGATCAACCTTTGAGGATCACCCTAAATGGTGCCAAACAGATGGAAGAAGTACTAAGGAATGCTAGAAAATTACAAAGTGATGAGGATGGGAAAGTGTGGTCGTTAAGACGAGATCTTTCAAAAGAAGAGAGAGAGAAGCTGAAACTGAACCTCGCCGAGGCAAAACGTTTAAATGAGAGCAGGAATGGAGAAGAAATCAATTCTTTTTTCTACAAAGTGATAGGGGTAGGCAGACCAGTAAAGTGGTACATAAAGGCAAACCAACAAAATCATTAGAGAGAGGGGCAGTTAAAAATAAGAATAGGGGGAACAAGTTCCTGAAGATTGCATACACCAACATAGATGGAGTAAGATTGCAGATACTGGAGTTAAGTAATGTAATACAGCTGCAGACACCAGACATTGTTGCACTCACGGAGACAAAACTTGAAGATGTTATTTTAAATGAGGTCATATTCCCAAGGGGCTACTCAATTTGGAGACAGGATAGAAAAATTAGGAAAGGCAGTGGCGTTGCTGTGCTGGTGAAAGAACACCTAAAGGTGAAGGAAATAATGACTGCCAATCCACAAGAAGTTGACATAATAGCACTAGAGATCTGCCATGAGGATGATAAACTAATGATCATATATGCATATAGTCCACCGCCAAGCAGCACATGGTCAAAGGAGGAGCTAGATAGTAAACGAGAAGGTCTTATAACAATAATGAGAGAGATCATAGCGAGAGCCGATAACGATAGTTCACGACTGTTGATAGTCGGCGACTTCAACTTGAAATCCATAGACTGGGAAGCATGTGAAGCTAAAACAGAAGAGTTTTGGACCTGTAAATTTGTAGACCTCATCCTGGAAACATTCTTGTATCAATATGTTAAACAAGCTACGAGGATGAGGGAAGGGGACGTTCCCTCCATGCTAGATTTGACATTTACCAGGAAGGAGGAAGAAATATTTGACATTCAGTACCTTCCTCCCTTGGGTAAAAGTGACCATGTCTTTTTGGGAATAAAGTATGCAATGCATTATAATCTGCAAGAAAATATGAAGGTTGATGAAATTGAAAAAACTGACTTTAGGAGAGGACATTATGGCAACCTTAGACATTTTGTTAGTGAGTATAATAGGACAGACTTGTTGCTAGGCAAGGAAGTGAATGAGATGTATGTCAAGTTTTGTGAAATATATGATAAAGGCACAAAAAATTTTATACTAAAACAGAGATGCAGAACTAGGTAACAGGATTGGTTCAACAGAAATTGCGAGAGGGCCAGAGACCAAAAGACACAAAAATGGAATCAATACAGGAAGAGGCCAAATCTCCAAACATACCAGTGATACAAAGATGCAAGAAACAACTACACGGCAGTGATTAGAGAGGCAGAAAGAAATTTTGAAAAAGGGATTGCAGACAAATGTAAAACAGAACCAGGTCTATTCTATAAATTCATAAACAACAAATTGCAGGTAAAGGATAATATTCAGAGGTTGAAAATGGGAAATAGATTCACGGAAAATGAAAAGGAAATGTGTGAAACATTAAACGAAAAGTTCCAAAGTGTGTTTGTACAAAATGAAATCTTCAGAGAACCAGACACAATAAGAATTCCAGAGAACAACATAGAGCACATAGAGCTGTCTAGAGACGTAGTGGAAAAAATGCTCAAGGAGCTAAATAAGAACAAAGCAGTTGGTCCAGATGGAGTCTCACCATGGGTTCTGAGAGAATGTGCACCTGAGCTCAGCATTCCACTTCAACTGATTTTTCAGGCATCCCTGTTTACAGGAGTTGTAGCTGATGTGTGAAAAAAGGCTAACATAGTTCCAATCTACAAAAGTGGAAGCAGGGAAGACCCCCTTAATTATAGACCGGTATCATTGACAAGTGTAATAGTCAAAATATTGGAAAAAATAATTAAAACTAAATGGGTAGAACACCTGGAGAGAAATTATATAATATCAGACAGACAGTATGGTTTTCGATCTGGAAGATCCTGTGTATTGAATTTACTCAGTTTCTATGATCGAGCAACAGAGATATTACAGGAAAGTGATGGTTGGGTTGACTGCATCTATCTGGACCTAAAAAAGACTTTCGACAGAGCACCCCATTAGAGGTTGTTCTGGAAACTGGAAAATATTGGAGGGGTGACAGGTATGCTTCTAACATGGATGAAAAATTTTCTGACTGATAGAAAAATGAGGGCAGTGATCCGAGGCAATGTATCGGAATGGAGAAATGTCACAAGTGGAGTACCACAGGGTTCAGTTCTTGCACCATTGATGTTTATTGTCTACATAAATGATCTACCAGTTGGTATACAGAATTATATGAACATGTTTGCTGATGATGCTAAGATAATAGGAAGGATAAGAAACTTAGACGATTGTCATGCCCTTCAAGATGACCTGGACAAAATAAGTATATGGAGCACCAACTGGCAAATGGAATTTAATGTTAATAAATGCCATATTATGGAATGTGGAATAGGAGAACACAGACCTCACACAACCTATATATTATGTGAGAAATTTTTAAAGAATTCTGATAAAGAAAGAGATCTAGGGGTGGTTCTAGATAGAAAACTATTACCTGAGGACCAAATAAAAAATATTGTGCCAGGAGCCTATGCCACGCTTTCTAACTTTAGAATTGCTTTTAAATACATGGATGGCGATATACTAAAGTAATTGTTCACGACTTTTGTTAGGCCAAAGCTAGAATATGCAGCTGTTGTGTGGTGCCCATATCTTAAGAAGCACATCAACAAACTGGAAAAGGTGCAAAGACATGCTACTAAGTGGCTCCCAGAACTGAAAGGCAAGAGATACGAGGAGAGATTAGAGGCATTAAATATGCCAAAACTAGAAGACAAGAAAAAGGTGTGATATGATCACTACATACAAAATAGTAACAGGAATTGATAAAATCGATAGGGAAGATTTCCCCGAGACCTGGAACTTTAAGAACAAGAGGTCATAGATTTAAACTAGCTAAACACAGATGCCGAAGAAATATAAGAAAATTCACTTTCGCAAATAGAGTGGTAGACGGTTGGAACAAGTTAGGTTAGAAGGTGGTGGAGGCCAAGACCGTCAGTAGTTTCAAAGTGTTATATGACAAAGAGTGCTGGGAAGACGGGACACCACGAGCGTAGCTCTCATCCTGTAACTACACTTAGGTAATTACTAATGAGTTACTTATATTCACAAGACAATTCAGAAGTGTGAGGCAAGGGAAAAATTAACTGAAAAATCCAGAAAATAACCAAATTATGGGAATAGTTAATAAAGCAGCTATAATTTCTAACACTAATAATGTTATTATTGTCAATGCAAGATTGATAATTCACAGCACCTACTGCAAAGCAAAGATGTCCCCTTGTCTTGGGAATCAATTAGGAAATGATATTCAAACTTAAAAATCAATATATGCTGAAAGAAAGAAAATTCACATCAATAACTAATGGAAACAAAGGTGAATATGCATTATCACCACTTGGCCACATGGCTCTTTATTTAAAAGCAGCTGTTGGGGTTTAATTGATACCGCCTCCATATGAAATGTGCAGGGTTAGTTTAGAAAGTTAAGCTACACTGGGGGCTCCAACATTGCTGTTACAACTGAGGTCATTTCAAAATGATTTACTGGACCCTTGGATTTCCACTCTAGGATAGGCTCATGGTGAATCTACAGAAATAACAGAGCAGAGGGAATGAACTAGAAGACCAGAAAGAGGAAGTTCAGACAATTTTACAACTACATAGTAAACAAGGCAAAAAAAAAATTCAAGTTGCTGTAACACAGGGTTGAGCTACATCATGAGAAAAAAAAAAGACAGTAAATGAACAGGTGATAAAACTGAGGACAAAGAATAGCATGCTTATAGAGAATAAGAGAGAATTATGAGCAACGTATAAGTTTCATACAGATTCAAATACAGATATAACAGAGTCCAATGGGTTAAGAAACCTGTATATAAATTGAAAGAAAATTGAGAAGCAAGTCAAAATACCCAAAGCTTAATGCCTGCAAGCAGAATTAGGCAAGTTGAGAAGTACTATAAGAGTATTTTAAAGCATTAATAAAGTATACATGAAATGATAATGAATACTCTACAATTATCATTGAAGGTTTTGGTGGTGAAGACTTCTCTCAACTGGGTCACACTGGAATGTTGCAACTTCTTCCACAGATCGACTAGCTGAGTCACTTTAACATTGCTCAACCGAAATCCGTGGATACGGTAAAGGCAATAATGTAGGCCAGTTTTTATATTAGTAGCCTGCAGAATAAAAAAATATTAGCATCAGCATAAGCAATGTTTATTTATACATCAATAAGAACCTCATACACCCACAAATAAAAATTACACCAAACTTAATACTACTGTACCAGTATAATATAGATCTACATAAAAAATATATACAACAGTATACATAAAATATAATATATAACATACTATACATAGATGTGACAAGGTAAGAGGTGGAGATGGTGTACAAAAGGAGAAAAGGTAATTACAGTATAATTTTTTAAATGATAAAACTAATTGTAATTATAAAAAGTTTTCACCTTTATATAAAAAAAGGCCAGACACAACTAATCCATCTAAATAACAATCACTGGAAATCCATTCCAAAATTTAGCAAAATTTAGTTATGCCAGGATAAATCCTGGCATAACCCTTCTGGGAAGGCCCATCACACCCTTGGCCCCCCAAGGTAAGCCTGTACCACACTGGAAGTCTCCTGCCAATCAAGCATGCAGGTCTGTCAAAACCCATACCATGCTCTCAACAAAGAGAGAGGACAGTCTGCTAACTAGGAAGACTCAAGTATCTAGTAACGCACCCAAAAGGAAGAAGGTCAAACCAAACTCAAAATAAGGAGGATCCATCACCGAGGTTTAATCCGGGTCTCGCAGGAGGTAAGCTGCGATGGGCTCCTGAACCTCCTTAGGCGGGATTCGAGAAGCTGAAAACCTCCAGAAGGAAGGAACCGAAGAACCCAGGGGAGCACGGAACCGAACCCGGGAAGCCGCCGAACCCAAATCATACTCGTACAGGGAAGGAGGGTACGAAAACCCCTCCCCCTGCAACAACAAGCCCCACAACAAGGGTACAACACCCAAGCGGGGTCAAACAGTGCACAGAACCCCCCCCCCCCCCCAAGTCAACTCCTCCCCAGCCTCGGGGCAGAGCTGTCCTCCACACCCTCTGTGCCTAAAGAAAAAGCACAGTCCAAGGGAAAGGCCGAGAAGAATGGGTTGAATGGGTTGGTTGGTTGAATGTTGCTAACCCGGAAGGGGCAGTCCCCAAAGCCGCCCAAGTCTCACTACAGTACCATCTAAACTGCCCCGACTCCGAAATCCCCAGACATTTGGGACCCAGGAGCAGGGGGGAAATGGGGGAGCAGAACAAACAACAACAGGGAAAGGACATGGGAGCACGGACGAAACCAAAGTTGAAGCGACTAACGCCCCCAAGTCCGGGTCCCTATAACCCAAACAGGGCATCTTAGGGGCATCTTGGTTAGCAACCAACCTAGCTCACTGCTGCAACCAATATCGAGCCTGTAATACAGTAGTCGCCTACACCCGAACATCAATATCAGAAGACTGGGTAATCTGGAGCAGCAAGGAGCAAGACTTGCAAGGCTCCAGGTCAAAGATTTCATTGACCCAACAGGCAGAACGAGTGAGGCAAATTCAGCACGATTGAGGCAAAATTGGCGAGTGTCACCCTGAGACAAGGGGACAGAGCAGCCATCAAACTCGCATTCGGTGAGTTGGAACCCAGAGGATGCATCCATAGGTCCAAAGACCCCAGTAGGGTTTTCCAGGGCCCCTTAGGCTGACTGCTAAGGTAATGCTAACCGGTTAGGCCCAAATTACCAAGAGAACTGCTAAAACCTGAACCCCTGCGACGTGTACAAACACGGAGACCTAGCAGAGAACCACAAATATAACAAGGTGGATTAACCAAGGGGGCAGACCCTCCACCATTAAAAAAAAAAATCACAACGTCCCCAAGAGGAACAGAACCAGCTGCCATGAATAATGAAAGACAAGCTGTACCATACCTTGAGTCTCTACCAGCAACGATACCACTTCCTACCCAAGGTCAAACAGTGGCAACAAAAACTCCAGCTAGCCTCAAGAGTGGGCAATTGTCGAGCAACAAATCCCCTATGGAAGGGATTCCCAAACACCCTGTTTAAGATAACCCCCAAGATGCAAGGGCAGTACTTACAGGATGCTGAGGATAGGTGGCCCTAAGCGCATGCAGCCCCAGTAATGATGACTTACTCCTGGCCTGTGCACCACACACCGCAGAAATAGACCATAAGGCACAGAACTGCAAAGAGTCAGAGGCCAGAGTTGACGACTGCCACAGTCCACATCAGCCGAGAAACTGAATGCTGGAGCGGCTGGTGCAGAGGATCCGGGGCCCTCCTCTCCCCTCCCCTTCCCCAGGGGGGATGGGGGGAATGGGGGGGGAATGGGGGGGAATGGGGGGGGATGGGAGGAATGGTGGGGGATGGGGGATTAATGAGTTGGATGGGGGGGGGGCTGTGCAGATGAGCGGTGAGACGACATGAGTGACGTTTGCTTGTTTGCTCGTTTCAGTTTGGGAGTTCAGCATACCTGTTTGGTTTTTGGTAGCAATTTTTACCATGTGGGATTTGTTTTGTTACACCTTCCTTTCTGGGTGTCAAACCCTGGTTGATGGCAGACATGGAATGCTTCTAATCAAATGGGGGTTTCCATAGGCCATTGATCCTCATGCCTCTCTGAGAGGGGGGGGAGCAGATTCTGGCTCGTGGTCCCCGGTAGACAAAAACTCCATCGACCGATGCCATGGTCTAATACATACATAATATCAGCTCGGTAAGCTTTGGGGAGCTGTAGGGGGCTCCCCATAAAAAGAGTGATCCTAAGGATGAAAGAAACAAAACTAACATTTGTATGAAGAGCATGAAGTTTGGACCAACAAAAAACCTGCCTTTGAATAAGGAATCTTTAGCAAAGTATGAAAAAAAAAAAAATCCAGTCCAGGAAAAAGTCTACTGCAAGTATCCCATGGTCTGGAACAAAGGGTGGCAATTGATGATTCCATGCAGAGGAAGAGAGAGCCACCCGAGATTGCCAAATGTTTTGCAACCAAACCAAAAACCCCTATTGTGATACGAGCCAAAAATAATCCTTGGAAGGCATGGCGAGACCTAGAAATAAACCCACAGCCGAGAGTCAATGTGTCTAACAACTCTTGCGAGAGAATGGCAAGACACCACAAAACAAAACCTCAAAAACCCTAGAGAAAAATGATGTACTAAAATCTTCCAGTAGGGAATATCCATATATATACTGTACTATAAGGTTCTAATACTAGGGACCATCGAAAGGCTTCGAAGTATTTTATATTTATACTATACTGCATTTTAAATTAACATTTATCAGCAAATTATAGCTAAGTATTAAATACGTATACAGTAATTCTGTTCATGATGGCATACCTTATACACAGAGGTAGCATAACCAAAAATTGTTGATTTGTTTACACCATGTTGAGGCTCCAATGGCACTAACTCATGGTACATATCAATCTCCTGAGGTATATCTGAAAATAATTGAATTTAGCAAAACTGCATCATTTGTACATTCAAATAGGTTTGATTTGTCAAGATTCAATATTACCAAAATTGGATTAGACCTATAATGGCTCATCCTCTCATAAAAGCAAATGATAGCATTTAATGCTGCTCTTTAATCATGTACATATCTGCTACCCTGCAGAAATTTATACAGTATATATTTCTGCATACATAAATGATGAACCAACTGACACACACTAAATACTCTCCATAGTGCCTCTTTTTAATTTATCATCCAAATGCATAGACATTAAACACATTACTGTACAATCTTTATCCTTCCACCCACGTCTCCTCCATTAGCACCTATGCAAGCAGATGATCCGAGAAACCTTTCCACCATAAAACCCACTCTCACCATAACATGTTATTTTTCCATTCTTATTACAGTATATCCATCATTATTCCTATTTCCTCACTAATGGGATAAGAAGGCATCAATCCCACAAAAACAAAGTTCTATGCATTTATCATATCATAAGTATACTGTTCACAATATAGCCTCACAGAAAGAAGCACCACCACCACCACTCCCACAAATTATCCACAGCAGCATCCCTCTGCCACAACACTAGGTGTACAATGCTTTCATGAGCTGCCAAATGCAGCACAAATGCAGTCACTTCACATCATGCAGAATACTCCATTCATAAAACTCTGCAAACTAACATCTCTTAATTATTCTAATCTTCATACTACACTTTTATTCTGCCATCTGAAAAGGCTTTATATTTTTCAAAAACATGTTATATTTTTCTTCCAGAATATTATTTATTGTTTCAGGAATATTTTCTCACTTCTTTCACTATCATATTCCTTTTCGGCTACACCCTTAACCCCTACACTGCACACCTGTTTCCATGTGATAACTTCATGGTCCAAGGGTTAATGAATTATTAACATTAACTGAAATTATTTAAATCATGAAAAATGTCAAAATATTGCCAAACTCAACAACTTTCATTTCAAATCACTAAAAGTGAAAAATATTAACATTAAAAAAATTCAAATATTGCTAAATTCAATCTGTTTTGCACCACCTGTCGAGCACCTCAAGGAGCTATGCACACTGCAGATGTCACAGATTTAACCATATCTAGCACATTTCCCATGCCCAAGCCTTGAAATCCCATATACAAAGAAAAAAAGGCCCATACAGTATTTTACTGAGCAAAAACCTATGCAACTAGAAAAAAAGAACTATAGAATTTGGTTTTAAATAAGCTCAGTGGCATTCCCAAAGCACAACTATTTCTTGTAATGTTGCCTCCATCTATAAATTCGGTCCCAACCTCCTAAGCAAATCCACACATTTCTTGCTTCAGCGAACTCTTGTTCGTCGAATTGGCGAGTAAACCTAGCATGGAAAGCGCTCAAACCGGAAAGTCGCCGAATCAAGGTTTGTTGAACTGAAATTCTACTGTACTATAATTTAAGTACAGTACTGTATCGAAGTCAATTACAATTGCCACTGGCACATGCCAAACAACCAAACTACCTTGCATATTATCATCAAAACTTGATGCCCAATGATTCCAAAGATATAAGGCACCAAATATTGGAATACCTGCCGCCTGAGATAACGACAAGGGATGCAGTGTCCAGACAACCATGGGACCAAACATCTGGGAAACAGGTCTGTTATTCTAAAAGTGCTGCCTAACTGTACTGAAAACAAGAAATATGATATAAACAAAAATATACATGATTATGCTGTCAAAATTTCCTTAAATATGGGAGATAATTCTCACAGTCTGGATACAGGCATCACCAGGCTGTTCTTACATGCAAAATGCATTGTATTACGAAACACCGCTATTTTCTGGGTAATATCTCTATGGGAATTACATGTCTAATGTACACTGTCATTTTCAAAATCAATGGATTTCTTTCAAAACAAGCCATAAATTTTCCAATAAACATTATACTGTACTGAATAAATAATATTTAGTCCACCATGAACATCAATAGCTACAAATGTCTAGTAAACAGCTTTTATTGTACCCACATTCATCTTATTGAGATTGATTTTCCCATCTTTTCTTTAAGTATCAATTCTTCTTTACTAATGTGCCATCACATTTGTTTTTAATTTCCCAAAGGATAACCAACCAATCAGGTTGCGATTCATACATCAGGTGGCAAGGAGCCTCTTTTAATCTTTACACTGCACTATAAACCACTCATAAATCTCAAGTGTCAGGTCAGAGTTGAATCAGAACCGAAAGGCCCCAGTTTTGATTCCCATAGTAGAACAGAAGCACTTGGGGAATGTTTTCTTTCACCCGATGCCTCTCTTTACCTACCAGTAAATAAGTACCAAGAAATTAGGCCACTTTCTTGGCTACATTCATGGAAAGGTCAATCTCTGGTCCAGGGGGACCTCAATAAGCATAACATGCTTCCTGTCCCCAGCAATGAGAAACCATGACAGGAGCAGGAATAGAGAGAGAAAGCTAAATACTATATTTAAAACAAAATTACACCTGCACATTCACATATCATACACACTAACATTATGGAGAATCTAAACCACTGCACCTCAGCACATCCACACTAGCTCCCAACCACTTCAAAAGACTGTGTATAGTGCTTATAGCAAGATCTCGTGTACAAACAAATTCTTAATTTTCTTAAACTGCTTACCAGGAAACTGTTCTGGGTCAACATGAGCTAGTGTCATTGCATGTCTGTCCAATATTTCATTCCGCAGTTCATCACCCATAAAGAAGTGCGGAGTATTGTTAGGTGCTCTCAAGTGATGGACATGGGGAGGTGTGGCCGGTAAAATATGGTAAGGTGGAAACACAAGCGATGGCTGTGGACCAGTAGTGAATGAAGCTGGAGACGTAGTAGCTCCACTAGCTCCAAAAGATGGCTGGTCTTGTGTAGTAAAAAAATAAGTTGTCCCTCCAACATTTTCTTGATACGTTGACAAATTGGAGGCATTGCTGTTGTCCTCTCCACCACCACTTTGCGGAGAACATCGTCCTCTACTAGGGGAATCTTGAGGTGATATCGGTCGCTGCGGGGACGCTACTGTTGCTGCCGGCGAGGACCGGGTCATGGGAGTAAAACCCAAGGAGGATGGAGTGGAGAGGCTAGGTGAGCCAAGGCCTGAGAAGGAGTGGAAGGATGGGGTGGAAGATGAGTGGGCAAGACCTCCGCTTCCACCTGACCCTGGTACAAACTCTGCTACACTGCTCACTGATGGCTGAAAGTAAATTATTAATTTATAAATCACTTTCTTACAGTCACTGGTTGCTACTAATAATAAATTTATAACTTTTGAAAACACACTAGCACGAAAAGTTCCAAGAAAATTATTTAACAAAAAAAAAAAAAAAAAAAAAAAAAAAAAGAAATGAGAAAATGAATTTTAAAATGCACATCATGGATATTATGATGCGATCATTATGTGCATTTCCTACTTTCATGTGGAGGAAAGACATCACCCTGGACAAAAATAAGGTGGGGGCAAAAGAAGAATAATGGTAGGAGACATTAAAAATGGCATTCATTAATGGCATAATATATCTACACTATCACAGATAAACAAAGAATCACCATTTACTCCAGCAACCACCCACAATAGCACCCCTGCTTCATAAGACCAGCAGTATCGTGTTCCCCTAAAGTTCATGTAAATGACGATTCAAGTACTCCAAGTTTCCTCCTATTCATACAATGTCAAAAACAAAACTACATACAGTAACATACCTTAATTTTGTTGTAAAATAATAAATATGTCATGTGAATGTGAGGAATTTGAGAGGTAAAACAGTACAATACTAGTCTTTTTAGCTACCACATGGGGTAATGTTTTTACTATTGCTAACAGCAGCATTTACTGGATCCAAACTCCTTGTATGATGGTCAGAAGTCCAATAAAACAGGTTTTATTGGAAAATTTATTGGAAACCCAATTTCAACCTGTTTTCAAACTATCTTCCTAGGCACCTAGGATCAAATCAGATTTTTACCGGGAATAAACAGTGTCACTTGGCAAAATCCTCCTTTCACAGCAAAAGGGGTATGCAAAACATTCACTAAATAATTCTGGTAAGGCAAGTAAAAATTTACATACATACAGTATTATACTGTATTTCAGAAGTTTGTTTTATTTATACCATATAAAATATTGTGGATTCATCATAATACTATACATTGACGCCTCGGCTTACAAATGCCCCTATTTACGAACTTTTCGGGTTACGAGCCCAATTTCTTCGTAAAATGTGAATCGGCTTACGAGCCTTGCCTCGGGTAACGAAGTTTGTTGATACATGTATGAGCAACCTAGCGCGTGGTTCCTGGTGGCACGGTCGCTCGCACTTCAGTTTACCAGTGCCTCCTGCTTGGTGACAACCATGCATGAATTTTTGGTAAAGAATTTTTTTTTGGGGGGAGGGGGCTTTTTTGGGTTTTGAACATAAAAGTAATTACTATATATTATGCCATGGGTCCCAAGAAAGTCAGTGGTATGATTCAACCTAAGAAAATACATGTGAGGATGGCCATATAGCAAAAACAAAAGATCATTCGTAAACATGAAAACGGTACACGAGTTGTTGAACTAGCTAGGCAGTACAACAAATCTATGTCAACAATATGCACTGTAATTGCTAAGAAAAAGGACATTATCAGTGCCAAAGTGGCAAAAGACGTATCAACAATCACGAAACAAAGAACACAAACACTTGAGAATGTTGAAAAGTTGTTATTAATTTGGATACACAACAAGGAGTTAGCAGGTGATAGCATTTCAGAGGCCATCATTTGTGAAAAAGCAAGGCAATTGCATGAAGACCTTTTAAAGAAAACCCCTGGAACAAGTAATGCAGATATGAAAGAGTTTAAGGCGAGCAGGGAATGGAGTTTGAGAAATTTAGAAAAAGGAGTGGCATTCACAGTGTTGTGAGAGTTGTGAGTGATTTGTGTCGAGTGGTGGTGGAGGAACACAGCGAAGAACTGACCACCGAAGAAATCCTAGCCCTTCACAAGGAGCAGCAACAAGAGGCAGCTAAAGAAATGTCTTCGGGGAAGAAGGAGGCAGTATAGAATGTCCCTTCTCAACGATTAAGAAGTGGTGTAGACTATGGGAAGACATGCAAACTTTTGTTGAAACAACTCACCCAGAGCAAGCTGTAATAGGTCATTGCTTTAACCACTTTAATGACACTGTGATGCCTCACTACAGATAAGTGTTACAACATAGGGAAAAACAAGAATATAGACAGGTTCTAAATTCAATGAGAAAAACAGGCAGTGAGCCACAAGCAGGTCCTAGTGGTATGCAGGCAAAACGTGCCAGAGAGAGTACCCCAGAAGAAGTCATCACTGCCTGATGTTATAATGGAAGGGGACTCCCCTTCCAAAACACTAACACCTCACCTTTCCTCCTCTTCACCATCTTCCATATGCCAACAAGTCATCAATAAAGGTAAGCTATAACTTGTACATACTGTAGTACTTAATATTTGTGTGAATTAGATACGTAATATACTTTTAAAGTTAATATTTTTGGAAGTGCGGAACAGATTAATTCAATTAACATTATTTCTTATGGAAAAATTCATTTTGGGTTACGAACCGTCTCTGGGAACGGATTAAATACGTAAACAGAGGGACCACTGTACACAAAATACAGTACTGTATATTGTACAGTATTTAGATCCAAAACACAGTTGGGCCGGGGAGGATAGAAATCCTTAATGAAATAAATCTGGTCTGTCACAGTTTGTTGAAGCAAGGTTTGATAAAAAGTTTTATCTAACAAAATTCAGATCTTGCTTTATCTAACCAAGCTTTAACTGCACCAGCTACTTTCCTTTCCTGACTTTACTCTCAACTTCACTTTCACAAATTCTTTATCACATATCCTAGGCATTTAGGCTGATCAACTACTTCCAGCACATCTCTCCATATTTACAGTATTAACATACAAAACTTCCTACTCTCCCATCAAGCATAATTCTTTTGGTCCATATGTCTATATATACTTTCAACAGTCTTCTCTCGCAAGCAAATAATTGATCACATTTTACTATATTTTAATGTACTCACCACACTAACTTTCCTTGTACCAACACCATCAAGGCTTAGAGCAGCAACACTGTTTGTGAGAGGGGACTGTTGTTCTTGCTGTTGCTGCTGTGGCTGTTGTGTCGATGTTGACAGCTGCTGGCGATTCTGTGAAATGCATTGTAGTAAAAGTTACTTAATGTGACTATAGAAATAAAATTAAATATATCCACATTTTCACTCCAATATTGATATGAATCATGAGAAGAGTCTATTAGTCCTTAGACAAAAATCTGCCAATTTGGCACCCACTCAAATAAAATTACCAATTTAAATATTTAAAGTTCTATAAAACAACAATAATAATGCTCAACCAATATTATTTATCCATTAAGGATAAAATTAAATACAAATCAAATCGACATTACATTAAATTTATTAGTAAGGAACAGAAACTATGAAGAGGAAATTAAATAATATGATACAAAAATATTACTAAACTTGACAAACAATACAGTATTATTAAATATGAAGGATAGGTGGATGGGAATACTGTACTTTAGTAAATGTGGAGGGTGGATTTAAAAATAAATAAAAAAATTACAGTTAATATAAGGGAAAAATGATTGGTTTTACTGGATGTGAGAAGAGTGCACGACAGAATAACAATATCCATAGAAAAGGTAAATACATTACTGTAGCACAAAAACTGAAATTTGGGACAGCTCCGGGTATTGAAGAGGCATGGCAAAGATTGAATGATTGTTCAATAGTACATTACAGGATTTATATATGATAACTCAAAGGAACCTCTTTACATCTAGTTGTATTAAGCATAGGGATGCTCTGGATTTTTTCCTGGAGGGTGACTAATGATTGTAAGGGATGCTGTCTAGTTTAGAGGAAATGATAAATAGGAAAGAGATTTTTTAAATCTTTTTAACCTTGTTTCACTCTAGTTCTTTCCCAATTCCTACAGGCTCAATCTGCCCACCCTATGAAAGTGGGAAATGGGTTAACTATAAAACATTACTCAGATTTTTAAACAACTACTTAAATGAACTAACACTTATGTAAGTGGCAAGTTTTGACTCCTGTGGCAAGCCATTAACTTGATTGGTCACTGGAGTAGTAGATACTGGAGCCACTGCAGCTGCCTGCTGTGGCAGTCCAAGGTTAAGGAAGAGAGGGTCCATCCCAATTACTCTCTCTAATAACCTGCAGAAAAAGATAATCATATACAGTACCACGAAATTATAAATCAGCGTCACTATATTAATCAAAATACATGTGCAGTATCTCTATCAATCTATTTATATCTCTCCTAATGAGATGGACAGGATAGACAAGCCCCTTGGCATCCCTAGTTTATTCTAATCCTGTTATGCTCTAGGATTTTACAAATCAAGCATACACTTGCCCGATGAGTTTGCTGGCTGCCTTCCCATAAATTAAGCCACATGTACTGTAGATTCCCAATACAATATGTTAGTGTATACATTGATCTACGTAACTAATTTCAAATTTATCCCTTTAATTTTATATTATTAATAACAAAGTATTTTTGTTTATTGATAAAGTAACCTAATGAACCACTAATATGTTTGTTGTAGGTAATAAATTATGATTACAGAATTACCATCAGAATTTTCCTATAAATTTTACACTTTACTACCAGATCTAACTTCCTTTCATTTACAAACTTGCTACACAATTTATCTGTACAGAAAATACCTCCCACTTACTCTAATCCTCGCCGGCACTACACAATGGCCTGACCCCACAAACATTCCTCTCGCTACACTAGCATTATCCACACTTTTTACATCTTCTTCGTATGTATATTAACCTATGCTGAAAGAATTTAAGATAAAATTTATCTGTTGGGGGGATAAGATTATCCCCAACAGATAAATTTAAGTTCAGTAACTGGAGCCTGATTTGCAGTCACTGACCTAGAACCCTCCTGAATATAATTTAACAAGTTTCTGACATTTTAACACCTCCAGGTTTTGCAGAGCCCCTACTTTAATGAGTAGGATATAGCCCCTTACAGGCCCTTAAATCTAGTGGATATTGTATAACAAAAAGGTGTTGGCATGGAGCAAGAAGGCAAAAAGTAGTGGTAACATTTTAAAAATAGCGAGTTATTATCCAATTGCCTAGTGCACAACTGCAATTTATTATTTTCTCACATACTGAAGCATATAAATTTACAAATTAATTAATTAATTAATGGAAGTTCTTAGAGTAAAATGAAAGTGAGGGTACCATTGTACACTATCATAGTACAAATGTGTCAATCCAAGAACATTTTGAAATTGATTGAAAATTGGTAGATACAGTAGTGTGTTTACTAGTTGTGTTTTTATGGGGGTTGAGCTTTGCTCTTTCGGCCCGCCTCTCAACTGTCAATCAACTGTTTACTAACTACTATTTTTTTTTTTTTTTTTTTTTCCCACACCACACACACACACACCGCAGGATGCAGCCCGTGACAGCTGACTAACTCCCAGGTACCTATTTACTGCTAGGTAACAGGGGCACTTAGGGTGAAAGAAACTTGCCCATTTGTTTCTGCCTTGTGCGGGAATCGAACCCGAGCCACAGAATTACGAGTCCTGCGCGCTATCCACCAGGCTACGAGTGTACGAGTGTACGAGTGTGTGTGTGTGTGTGTGTGTGTGTGTGTGTGTGTGTGTGTGTGTGTGTGTGTGTGTGTGTGTGTAATTACCTAAGTGTAATTACCTAAGTGTAGTTACAGGATGAGAGCTACGCTCGTGGTGTCCCGTCTTCCCAGCACTCTTTGTCATATAACGCTTTGAAACTACTGACGGTCTTGGCCTCCACCACCTTCTCACTTAACTTGTTCCAACCGTCTACCACTCTATTTGCGAAGGTGAATTTTCTTATATTTCTTCGGCATCTGTGTTTAGCTAGTTTAACTCTATGGCCTCTTGTTCTTGAAGTTCCAGGTCTCAGGAAGTCTTCCCTGTCGATTTTATCAATTCCTGTTACTATTTTGTACGTAGTGATCATATCACCTCTTTTTCTTCTGTCTTCTAGTTTTGGCATATTTAATGCTTCTAACCTCTCCTCGTAGCTCTTGCCCTTCAGTTCTGGGAGCCACTTAGTAGCATGTCTTTGCACCTTTTCCAGTTTGTTGATGTGCTTCTTAAGATATGGGCACCACACAACAGCTGCATATTCTAGCTTTGGCCTAACAAAAGTCATGAACAATTTCTTTAGTATATCACCATCCATGTATTTAAATGCAATTCTGAAGTTAGAAAGCATTGCATAGGCTCCTTGCACAATATTCTTAATGTGGTCCTCAGGTGATAGTTTTCTATCTAGAACCACTCCTAGATCTCTTTCTTTATCAGAATTCTTTAAAGATTTCTCACATAATATATAGGTTGTGTGGGGTCTATGTTCTCCTATTCCACATTCCATAACATGACATTTATTAACATTAAATTCCATTTGCCAAGTGGTGCTCCATATACTTATTTTGTCCAGGTCTTCTTGAAGGGCATGACAATCATCTAAATTTCTTATCCTTCCTATTATCTTAGCATCATCAGCAAACATGTTCATATAATTCTGTATACCAACTGGTAGATCATTTATGTACACAATAAACATCACTGGTGCAAGAACTGAACCCTGTGGTACTCCACTTGTGACATTTCTCCATTCCGATACATTGCCTCTGATTACTGCCCTCATTTTTCTATCAGTCAGAAAATTTTTCATCCATGATAGAAGCTTACCTGTCACCCCTCCAATATTTTCCAGTTTCCAGAACAACCTCTTATGTGGAACTCTGTCGAAAGCCTTTTTTAGGTCCAGATAGATGCAGTCAATGTGTGTGTGTGTGTGTGTGTGTGTGTGTGTGTGTGTGTGTGTGTGTGTGTGTGTGTGTGTAAAAAAAAAAAAAAAATAAATAAATAAATAAATAAATAAATATTTTATATATATATATATATATATATATATATATATATATATATATATATATATATATATATATATATATATATATATATATATATATATATGTCGTACCTAGTAGCCAGAACTCACTTTTTGGCCTACTATTCAAGGCCCGATTTGCCTAATAAGCCAAGTTTTGCTGAATTAATATATTTTTTCTAATTTTTTTCTTATGAAATGATAAAGCTACCCAGTTCATTATGTATGAGGTCAATTTTTTTTTATTGGAGTTAAAATTAACGTAGATATATGACCGAACCTAACCAACCCTACCTAACCTAACCTAACCTATCTCTATAGGTTAGGTTTGGTTAGGTAGCCGAAAAAGTTAGGTTAGGTTAGGTTAGGTAGGTTAGGTAGTCGAAAAACAATTAATTCATGAAAACTCGGCTTATTAGGCAAATCGGGCCTTGCATAGTAGGCTGAGAAGTGAGTTCTGGCTACTAGGTACGACATATATATATTATATATATATATATATATATATATATATATATATATATATATATATATATATATATATATATATATATATATATATATATATATATGTCGTACCTAGTAGCCAGAACTCACTTCTCAGCCTACTATGCAAGGCCCGATTTGCCTAATAAGCCAAGTTTTCATGAATTAATGTTTTTTCGTCTACCTAACCTACCTAACCTAACCTAGCTTTTTTTGGCTACCTAACCTAACCTTACCTATATATATAGGTTAGGTTAGGTTAGGTAGGGTTGGTTAGGTTCGGTCATATATCTACGTTAATTTTAACTCCAATAAAAAAAAATTGACCTCATACATAGTGAAAAGGGTAGCTTTATCATTTCATAAGAAAAAAATTATAGTAAATAAATTAATTCAGGAAAACTTGGCTTATTAGGCAAATCGGGCCTTGAATAGTAGGCTGAGAAGTGAGTTCTGGCTACTAGGTACGACATATATATATATATATATATATATATATATATATATATATATATATGCGAACAAGCCAGAATGGTCCCCTGGACAATATGCAACTGAAAACTCACACCCCAGAAGTGACTCGAACCCATACTCCCAGAAGCAACGCAACTGGTATGTACAAGACGCCTTAATCCACTTGACCATCACGACCGGACAATAATGAGGTGATAGCCGAGGCTATTTGAACCACCCCACCGCCGGCACTCGGATAGTTATCTTGGGCATAGCATTTTACCAAATCACCTCATTCTTAGGGGCACACGTGAGGAACACAAATGCGAACAAGCCAGAATGGTCCCCTGGACAATATGCAACTGAAAACTCACACCCCAGAAGTGACTCGAACCCATACTCCCAGAAGCAACGCAACTGGTATGTACAAGACGCCTAAATCCACTTGACCATCACGACCGGACAAAATGAGGTGATAGCCGAGGCTATTTGAACCACCCCACCGCCGGCACTCGGATAGTTATCTTGGGCATAGCATTTTACCAAATCACCTCATTCTTAGGGGCACACGTGAGGAACACAAATGCGAACAAGCCAGAATGGTCCCCTGGACAATATGCAACTGAAAACTCACACCCCAGAAGTGACTCGAACCCATACTCCCAGAAGCAACGCAACTGGTATGTACAAGACGCCTTAATCCACTTGACCATCACGACCGGACAATAATGAGGTGATAGCCGAGGCTATTTGAACCACCCCACCGCCGGCACTCGGATAGTTATCTTGGGCATAGCATTTTACCAAATCACCTCATTCTTAGGGGCACACGTGAGGAACACAAATGCGAACAAGCCAGAATGGTCCCCTGGACAATATGCAACTGAAAACTCACACCCCAGAAGTGACTCGAACCCATACTCCCAGAAGCAACGCAACTGGTATGCACAAGACGCCTTAATCCACTTGACCATCACGACCGGACAATAATGAGGTGATAGCCGAGGCTATTTGAACCACCCCACCGCCGGCACTCGGATAGTTATCTTGGGCATAGCATTTTACCAAATCACCTCATTCTTAGGGGCACACGTGAGGAACACAAATGCGAACAAGCCAGAATGGTCCCCTGGACAATATGCAACTGAAAACTCACACCCCAGAAGTGACTCGAACCCATACTCCCAGAAGCAACGCAACTGGTATGTACAAGACGCCTTAATCCACTTGACCATCACGACCGGACAATAATGAGGTGATAGCCGAGGCTATTTGAACCACCCCACCGCCGGCACTCGGATAGTTATCTTGGGCATAGCATTTTACCAAATCACCTCATTCTTAGGGGCACACGTGAGGAACACAAATGCGAACAAGCCAGAATGGTCCCCTGGACAATATGCAACTGAAAACTCACACCCCAGAAGTGACTCGAACCCATACTCCCAGAAGCAACGCAACTGGTATGTACAAGACGCCTTAATCCACTTGACCATCACGACCGGACAATAATGAGGTGATAGCCGAGGCTATTTGAACCACCCCACCGCCGGCACTCGGATAGTTATCTTGGGCATAGCATTTTACCAAATCACCTCATTCTTAGGGGCACACGTGAGGAACACAAATGCGAACAAGCCAGAATGGTCCCCTGGACAATATGCAACTGAAAACTCACACCCCAGAAGTGACTCGAACCCATACTCCCATGGCTTGTTCGCATTTGTGTTCCTCACGTGTGCCCCTAAGAATGAGGTGATTTGGTAAAATGCTATGCCCAAGATAACTATCCGAGTGCCGGCGGTGGGGTGGTTCAAATAGCCTCGGCTATCACCTCATTATGTCCGGTCGTGATGGTCAAGTGGATTAAGGCGTCTTGTACATACCAGATGCGTTGCTTCTGGGAGTATGGGTTCGAGTCACTTCTGGGGTGTGAGTTTTCAGTTGCATATGTCCTGGGGACCATTCAGGCTTGTTCGCATTTGTGTTCCTCACGTGTTGCCCCAAAGAATGAGGTGATTTGGTAAAATGCTATGCCCAAGATAACTATCCGAGTGCCGGCGGTGGGGTGGTTCAAATAGCCTCGGCTATCACCTCATTATGTCCGGTCGTGATGGTCAAGTGGATTAAGGCGTCTTGTACATACCAGATGCGTTGCTTCTGGGAGTATGGGTTCGAGTCACTTCTGGGGTGTGAGTTTTCAGTTGCATATGTCCTGGGGACCATTCAGGCTTGTTCGCATTTGTGTTCCTCACGTGTTGCCCCAAAGAATGAGGTGATTTGGTAAAATGCTATGCCCAAGATAACTATCCGAGTGCCGGCGGTGGGGTGGTTCAAATAGCCTCGGCTATCACCTCATTATGTCCGGTCGTGATGGTCAAGTGGATTAAGGCGTCTTGTACATACCAGATGCGTTGCTTCTGGGAGTATGGGTTCGAGTCACTTCTGGGGTGTGAGTTTTCAGTTGCATATGTCCTGGGGACCATTCAGGCTTGTTCGCATTTGTGTTCCTCACGTGTTGCCCCAAAGAATGAGGTGATTTGGTAAAATGCTATGCCCAAGATAACTATCCGAGTGCCGGCGGTGGGGTGGTTCAAATAGCCTCGGCTATCACCTCATTATGTCCGGTCGTGATGGTCAAGTGGATTAAGGCGTCTTGTACATACCAGATGCGTTGCTTCTGGGAGTATGGGTTCGAGTCACTTCTGGGGTGTGAGTTTTCAGTTATATATATATATATATATATATATATATACATATATATATATATATATATATATATATATATATATATATATATATATATATATATATATATATATATATATATATATATTATATATATATATATATATATACAGTACATATATATATATTATTATTAAATATGACCAAAAAAGTAAGATTAATAATTCTAACACGAATTTTCTCGATCTTTCTTACGTTTCTTTTCACTGTTGATAGTAATTCAAAGATCAATTCTCCAAAATTCATTTTTATTTCTAGTCTGACGCGACACTTGAGCGCGTTTCGTAAAACTTATTACATTTTCAAAGACTTTAGTTTACAAACACACAACTGAAACTGAATAGAGCTTACACATCTTCGATTTTATATCTACATTTGGGTGAGGTGGATGAGGTGAAAACAAACTTTCAACAATGGGTATTGAATGGGTATTAAATTCAAACACAAGACAGAACACGAAACAATGGGTATTGAATGGAAGTAATTGTAGAAAGCCTATTGGTCCATATTTCTTGATGCTTCTATATTGGAGCGGAGTCTTGAAGTGGGTAGAATATAGTTGTGCATTAATTGGCTGTTGATTGCTGGTGTTGACTTCTTGATGTGTAGTGCCTCACAGATGTCAAGCCGCCTGCTATTGCTGTATCTATTGATGATTTCTGTGTTGTTTGCCAAGATTTCTCTGGTGATGGTCTGGTTGTGGGAAGAGGATTATATGTTCCTTAATGAAGCCCTGTTGCTTATGCATCGTTAATCGCCTGGAAAGAGATGTTGTTGTCTTGCCTATATACCGAGTTCTTTGAGGCTTACAGTCCCCAAGTGGGCATTTGAAGGCATAGATGACGTTGGTCTCTCTTAAAGCGTTCTGCTTTGTGTCTGGAGAGTTTCTCATGAGTAGGCTGGCCGTTTTTTTGGTTTTATAGCAAATCGTCAGTTGTATCTTCTGATTTTTGTCTGTAGGGATAACGTTTCTATTAACAATATCTTTCAGGACCCTTTCCTCCGTTTTATGAGCTGTGGAAAAGAAGTTCCTGTAAAATAGTCTAATAGGGGGTATAAGTGTTGTGTTAGTTGTCTCTTCAGAGGTTGCATGGCGTTTCACCTTCCTTCTTATGATGTCTTCAACGAAACCATTGGAGAAGCCTTTGTTGACTAGGCCCTGCCTTACCCTACAGAGTTCTTCTTCAACTTGCTTCCATCCTGAGCTGTGGCTGAGAGCATGGTCGACATAAGCGTTAACAACACTCCTCTTGTACCTGTCTGGGCAGTCACTGTTGGCATTTAGGCACATTCCTATGTTTGTTTCCTTAGTGTAGACTGCAGTGTGGAAACCTCCGCTCCTTTCCATGACTGTTACATCTAGAAAGGGCAGCTTCCCATCCTTCTCCATCTCATAAGTGAAACGCAACACAGAATTCTGCTCAAATGCCTCCTTCAGCTCCTGCAGATGTCTGACATCAGGTACCTGTGTAAAAATGTCGTAAACATACCTGCAGTATATGGCCGGTTTCAAGTTCATGTCAACTAAGACCTTTTGCTCGATGGTACCCATGTAGAAGCGAGATGGCCCGGAAAGTGGAGTTGGAGATCCTGTTGGACGACATTCGACCTCAAGACACAAAAGAAAGTCACCACCAAAGACACCTTACAAGCAGAACTTATTGCGGAAGGAGGAAAGAATCGAGGCAACTACAGAAGCACCATACTGTCCCCCCGAGCTCAAAGCGGCGGCTAAGAGCCTTCGTGAGAACAAGGAGAAAGTCGTCAGAAGAGGTGACAAGTCGCCAATATACGTCATTCTTAAAAAAGACGAATATCTGGCGAAAATGAACCTCATTCTCTCTGACCAAACTAAATTCCAAAGGGTAACGAAGGACATTACAGCCGAATTGAAAGCAAAGGTCAACAAATTGATCGAAACTGTGAACGCCAAGAAATCCAGACTCCACCTGCCAAAGATTATTGGGGAATATAAACCTGGATACGCGTATGGAAATGTCAAGACACATAAGCCTGGAAACCCACTTCGGCCAATCATCAGCCAGATACCCACACCCACGTACAGACTGGCGAAGCGACTCAACGGCTTGCTGTCCCTTGCGCCTTCAGCCTGAAGTCTCACAAGGAATTTGTTGACTTACTGTGGGGAACACGGGCTACAGGGATAAGAGCCTCGTTGGACGTAGAATCATTGTTTACCAACGTGCCTGTGGATGAAACAATTGGGATGATAACGGACAGAGTGTATCGTGATCCGGCCTGTACTCCTCTTGACATACCAGAAAACACTGCGTATGAAGGACATTGTTTGAACGTAATAGCATGATCACCACCACAGTTCGAGCAGCAGAGTATATCCGACACACACAATCACACGTGTAATAGGAACCAGCACACTTTCCACGTTTGATGTCATTGGTGCAGCCTTTTGAGACATGGTGAAAACCTTTACAACAAAAGCACTGAGTGGGATGGGGGACATACACCTCATGGTGTACGTCCCCCATACATGGAGGAAGCCGTTAATCCAAACCCGATAAGGGGAAAAGAAGTCGAGAAAAATAAGTAGGGCAGAGCCGGAATCACACGGTTCACCATTAGCATCAATGATGAATATAGGAGACTTTTGTACCCTGCTATTTCCAAAAACACTCCTATCACTGGGCGTGTTGTCATCAAAGGCAATGATGAACGTTTGTAAACAAGGAAAACTCATCCTACCTAGAGTGAGTGGAGAATGTAGTAGCCGAGGCAATCACAGGGGTACCTCAGGACGCTGGAGGCGTTTTTTCTCCAATCTATTCGCCTTACTATGATGTTTACTGTCCAGGAAAACTCCCTCTGGATCTTCCTCTAAGACCGGAATATCGACGTTACCAGAATGCATTCCATGTAACAGTGGGTTCTGAAAACCCTCAAAGATATCGTGAATGTTTGTAGGAGAGACGCTGCATGCACCACCATCCGTCACCATGGTTGCTGATCTGAAGTATTCAGAAAGGAAGGCAACCCATTTAAGGACTCACTAGTCATATACAGCACTTTGCTGCTATCTCGTTGGTAAAACAGTATCTGGTACAGTACTGTATTTTACTGGACACGTGAATCGTTTCAGTTTCATCAAAAGCCAATCAGGATAGTTGTACCAGAGAAACAAAAAAAAAAAGAGATTTTAACATGAAACCATTTGATGTACAACACAATCCAATAACAACTAACAATTCATACAACTTCTGAAAGCATCAAAATGATAATTTATAAAATTTACATTGTACAAAACGAGCTGTAAACCATATAATACATTATTTGCTTACCTTACAATTCTGTACCATTGGTATTTGTAGTATAGGGGTTGTTGAACTGACTCACAAGAGAGAGAATGTAAACTTCTTGATTAAGCAGGACAAAATGTTGAGCAAATATCGTCTCACCATTTCTCGTTTTACCTAAAACAAGAAACTCAATTCATTACCTTGCATTTCTAGATGAACAGCAAATTATTGCAGACATTACTAGATACAGTACATGATAGCTTTTCATCACAGCTAATTAAAAGAGAATATCCTTAGACTCATTTGCCAATCTAACAATGGCAAAATGTTACATATTCTTATAAAGAATTGTCTATGTACAGAAGTAAATAGAATATCAGCCACAAAAGTCTGGACTTCAATATTATATAACTGATCAAAGCAACCCACTGGCTATATATTCCAAAATTCAGATGTCTCAGAAAAAGTTCCGAGTCCCATTGTGACTGCTGTGAAAACCGCAGTCAGTTTATTACACTAAGTTATTTCACTTATTTTTTGTTTCTTTATAAATCTTGCTTTTATATTTGTTATTATTCAAAACAATGAATTTAGATTTTATACACATTCTTTCCTGGATTAGGATAGATTAGGCTAGGTTAGGATAGATTAGGCAAGGTTAGAATGTCTGAAAATCTGTGGCACAGATCAGTAACTATTTAACCCTTTCACTGCTAAAGTGGATTGCATTCGCCTTATAAAAAGTCATTATCTCCCCCTCCCTTCCCTTCCCACACAATAATCTATTGCATTCCAGGTGTCTTTAAAAACTCGTCTAAATCATGTAATGGTTTGGCCTTAAAAACTGTTGCCTGGACCTGGAAGCAATTATGGTTCTCCATACCTTCATGTGTACTGTACTGTATTTATATGCTCTTTCAAAATTAAGTTTCAGTCTCTTATGTTTGGTACTCTAGCAAGCATGTTGTACATTCAAGTTGTACACAGGCATTTAAACAAAGCTTATTTTCTAATTGTAAACTATATACAGTATAAATATCGTCAATGCAGATTCTGTTGGGTTCAGTTGGGTTAGTTTAGTTTGGCTTTAAAATTTGTTGGTGAACCATGTTGTAATTACCCAAGTGATACAGTTAACCAACAAATTTTAAACCCTAACCTAACTTAACCCAACTGAATCTGTGTTCTAAGATTGGACCCCCATTCTATGGACACCATGGAGGATGAATATATAACACCAGCACCAATACATTAAATGAAAGTACAAAAATTACAAGAATTTTCCAAATATACTCCAAAAACATATTGAAACAAAGGTATCCAACAGAAACCTGTTAGAAAATATATAATTATTACCATGTTTAGTGTATGATTTTTAATAAATAATTGTTTTCATTGTCAAATTTAAGTGATTGCTGAATATCCAAATTATTATTTAGTTTTAGGAAATTGTACAATCCTTAGGATGAATGGATAAGACATTGAAATTATCTGCCTCAAGGGGTAACCAGTACAGTATATAAAAGACCAGCACCAAAATCTCTCGTATATTTTGTCTCCAGACACTAAAATGGACACACACATTTAATAATAGAAAACTGTCTGATAAAGAATATCATCTAGGGCTGGGTCTAGATAGAAATCTGTCACCTGAGGTCAATATAAAGTACATTGCGAGAGGAGCCTATGCTACACTTTCCAATTCAAAATTGCTTTTATATACTGTACATGAATGGCAAAATATTAAGGAAACTGTTCACAGCCTTTGTGAGACCAAAATTGGAATATACTGGGATTGTTTGGTGCCCATATATCAAGAACAACATTAATGCAACAAAATGGCTTCCAGAACTGAAAGACATGAGCTAAGAGGACAGGTTAGAGGCATTAAATATGCTAAAGCTAGAAGATAGAACAAAGAGGAAGATAGAACAAAGAGAGGCAATATGACTTCTAGGTACAAAATAGTAACGGGAATCAACAAAATTTATATAAAAAAATTTCTTTCCTAAAACTTAAAAGAACAAGAGACCAATAATTTCAGCTAACTAAACAAAGCTCCCCCCCCCAATAAAAAAAAAAATCACTTTTGCAAACAGTGGTAGATGGTTTGAACAAGTAAGGTGGTGATGAAGGCCAAAACTGTCAGTTGCTTAGCTTTACATTACAAAAAGTGCTGGAGAGACAGACCACCACAAGTGTAGCTCTCATCCTCTAACTGCACTTAGGTAATTACACACCATACTCCTTTGCATATTGCTATCAGAATGCACTGGTTAGTACTTTACAAGAAATGAATCACCAACCACGTGTGTGCAAAAGGAATCACATTAATATGATGTATCAGTGAGAAAATCAGTAGGAGCCATGACGAGGATCTGAACCTGCACTCTGTGTACTCTGAAGCACATGCCTTAGACCACAGCCAAAATGCAAGAGTGCAATGTGTGAAGGCTTCATTAGGCTTCAGTGGAAGCCTCAGTACCCCTAGAGGATTCGGTTGAAACCCCGGTTGCAATTTTTTCAATGTCATGGTGTAGTGGTCATCAAGGTAACCTCAAGGCAAGGTAAGGTAGTGGTCTAAGGGTGCTCCAGTGCTTGGGAGTACCCAGAGCACAGGTTCGAAGCCTCCTCATGGCTCCTACCGATTTTCTCGTTTGTTTTTTCTAGTCTTTGAATGATAGGGAAAAAAAGGGAAACACCACCAAAGAATAGCGACACACTACTATCGTATACTGTAACATCAGGTCTTAATTTTCAGTGGTTCCCAAGTAATAAGCCACCGAACATCGAGATACCTGGCACCCATCTAAAACACCCGCAAACATCCAAGTCAAATCAGTAATATACAATGGTTATATTAGCAAAATTACATAGCACTGTATACGTGACAACTTGCTGTCTAGAGACGGGTATCAGTGTTCCCAGACACTTGGCCTTGACTGTAAACGATAGATGCCTAGGTATCATTTATAGAGTAATGCCTCTTTTAAGTCATAACATTAACATTACATATGCAATAAAGCAATTATGCTTGTTATTGAATTTATAATATTTTACGTCTTGAGCACATATTGACATATATAAATATTGCACAACTGTAAAGAGGTCTTTTGCTTACTAAAAATGTAGTAAAAAAAACAGTAAAATAAAAAAATTCAGGTTTTGGATACATTCTGACCCAAGATGAAAACAAAACAAAACCAAAACTACTGACGAAAAAATGTTCAATTAGGGAACCCATATTTGCATTTCAAAATAATGAACATTAATTATTACTGTCTGTTATGAAACAAAATAGTATCCTGCGAATATGAGAGAGTACAGCCAGTGTCCGTGGTGCTCTGGGTAGGGAATGCTTTGACCTACTGCTAGTACACCTACTCCAATCCTCCCATTTCTCTCAACTCTTTACTAAATTTGAAGTTCTCCTGGAATCTCTGGCCTCTCGTAGTTTTAAGTCATATATAACCAATAAACCAGAGACGATAGGACAAAAAACCACGCTAAATCTTCGTTCCCAAGGATGAAGTCGAGAGAGAAAGGCCCCAAACTTTACGGACACCACAATTTTCTATTTCATAATTCTGAGACATTATTATGTCAAAGTTCCTCACTCGCCATATAATATCAATAACGTGGATTACATTAACTATGCTCAGTTAACTTTAAAGTCCCTCGTAATCCACAGATCTGCTCGTGTTAGCAACAACCACAAGTTGCCAAGTAAGAATCAAAATCAAAATCAGCTGTTTACCAGTAGCGAGTGGTGGCGGGTGGCACCCCCCAGGCCCTCTGGCCGCCCTCCTCGCCACCCATACTTAACACTCACCCACACTTGTACTCACTTATATTATTGGATAAAACACTCCATTAGTTCATAATTAAACGGGAAAAAAGAGTGTAAACATATGAGAGTGCGGATCAGCTTTGGAGTTTGAGACATACACTGTCGAGGAACAAGTGAGGGTCGCGACTGTTGCAGGAGCAGGTGTCGATGGTGGTGAAGGAGGGTCCCGCGGCGACCAAATAGGATTTATAGTCGGTCCGACGCCATCGTCGCCGCCGCTCAACTCCCATATACCAGAGTAAACAAAATGTTATCCAACAGAACAAATGTACACACATAATTAATAAAATAATAATTCATTGTGTCGGGGGAAAGGCAGCTAGTGTAAATATACATGTTACGTTTATATCGAGGTCCCCCCCCCTCAAGGGTGGAATTACTAACACCCCCCCCCCCCCAGGTTGCAAATCCCACAAGCTGACTGAACCTGGGTACCTGAATTTACCTGAGGGCCACTATCTCTAGTGGCCTCGACGAGGACAGGAAGCTGATGGCTTGTTAAAGGCCCCTTCCCCATTTATCCTGACGATTTTATCTAACTGGATTTTAAAATTCAGCAGTTACATTTATGGCTTCGGAGGGTAACCGGTTCCATGGGTTTATAACCTTGGTGAAAAAGCATCTCCAGAAAACTTGCATTGTGGTTTGTTGAGCTTTCATCCGTTGTTCCTTGTTTGTGTTACATCGAGGTTCAGTCCTCGAGCCCATTATGTGCCTCTGTAACCCTTTCCACTACCGCCCACAAGATGGGTATGGGGTGCATAATAAATGAACTAAACTAAACTGTTACATCTGATCCAAATAATATGTAAATAGAAAGTAAATTCCTTGGAGATCACACTGATAACAAGCTGAACTCCATTGTCATATACATAATGCAACACGTGTCTAAAAACGTAGACATTCTCTCCGGGATCAGATAATACATGCCTCGTTCTGCCTTGGTAACACTATTGTTGTCTCATCTATCCATATCACACTTATAGTATCTGTGCCTGGTGATTTATAACCCAAAATTACCTTCGCCCACTAATTACTCGATATAAATCAGCAATCAGAGCTATTACAAACTCTAGTCCCATTATTAATACCATTCTTCAAGAGCAACTACGAAACCACTTATTTATATGAAAGAGTACAATGGAAAATCTAAAGTGCGCTTACACCGCATCGGTTGGAAATAGGCTTACAGGTTCCAGAAGGTAAAGTAAGGTAATTACGAGGAGAATGTACTAAGCCAGTAGGACTATTTAGCACTTGGAGGGGAATATGAGGACAAAGATTTGGCACAGAGCGGAAGGAAGGAATGGTGTCCTTCGACTTGGACCTTCGGGAATTGAACGCCGACCTGCAAGAAACAAGGTCTCCGCTGTACCGACCAGTCCAAGTAGAGGAGCACATATTTCAGGAGAGAGGAAATATTAGCATTGAAGATTTACTGAGATTTAACAGCGTGGAAGCAGTTGCCAAACATATTGGACATAATCTTATTGAAGTCAACATACGTCATAAATACTCATCTACCGCCTAAATAAGAGAGAAGTGAGTAACACTAGCGAACCAGCCAGAGGCCTAGGGCCCGTTTAGGAATATCCCTGCAAAAATCATTAAACTTCCGTATACTTTAAAGAATCTTAGAGCCAGTAAAAACCTGAGAAAATACTGGTTTGGAAATATGACTGATCGATGGAACAATTTACTGATAACATAATAGTTGTGGGATCACTTGATTGCTTGAAGCGTAGGTTAGACATACATATGAATGAGTTTTGGTCGACATTTTTATTTATTTATTTATATACAAGAAGGTACATTGGGTTTATGAGAGTACATAGTATTGATGTTTTTACATTCTTGTAACATTCCCATATAAATAGGAGCGGCCTCGCATGAGCCAATAGGCCTTCTATAGTTTCTTTAATTATTATATACTTAGGTGATGAAGACGATAAATAATGACATGGTTATTCACTGTCTCCGATCTTATCCACGGATAATTCAGTCATGGGCCAACTCAGGAGCGTAGGACCTCTGAGTGAAGGTGAAAGTGTGAGGGCGTCACCTAGAACCTCCCTCCTGATAGTCACTGGGGACCACCTGTCCTCCCCAAGCACACCACACAGAGCAGTCAGTCACTGGGGACAACCTGTCCTCCCCAAGCACACCACACCGATCAGTCAGTCACTGGGGACAACCTGTCCTCCCCGATCAGTCAGTCACTGGGGACCACCTGTCCTCCCCGATCAGTCACTGGGGACCACCTGTCCTCCCCGATCAGTCACTGGGGACCACCTGTCCTCCCCGATCAGTCACTGGGGACCACCTGTCCTCCCCGATCAGTCAGTCACTGGGGACAACCTGTCCTCACCGATCAGTCAATCACTGGGGACAACCTGTCCTCCCCGATCAGTCACTGGGGACCACCTGTCCTCCCCGATCAGTCACTGGGGACCACCTGTCCTCCCCGATCAGTCACTGGGGACCACCTGTCCTCCCCGATCAGTCACTGGGGACCACCTGTCCTCCCCGATCAGTCACTGGGGACCACCTGTCCTCCCCGATCAGTCACTGGGGACCACCTGTCCTCCCCGATCAGTCACTGGGGACCACCTGTCCTTCCCGATCAGTCACTGGGGACCACCTGTCCTTCCCGATCAGTCACTGGGGACCACCTGTCCTTCCCGAGCTCACCACACAGTGGCTGCCTCCACCAGGACCTGCTGCCTGACGTTACCTGGGACAGCGTCTGCCTTCATCGCCTAACTTCAAGCTAGGTTATAAGGTTAGGTATCGCCTTGCTGCCCGGCGCGCCAACAGGTATGCCAGATTGGGCTACTTTAGAGAGCCCCCGCGCTCCCAAATTTTTAATTTCGCTACATGCTACTTTTTGGGCTAATTTAAAAGCAAGTTTGGCTAATTTGGGCAATTAATGTTAAGCAACTCAATGATGATTAACGAGGCTAACCATAGCCCGTGCTACTTGCCCCATTCCTGTGCCAGGTAAGTTACGGGCTCGCCATAGCCCGTGCTGCTTGAAACTTGTTCCGAGTAGCTGAATCTATAACAACAACAACAATGATGATTATTTATGGTCAGATGCAACACAAACAAGCACCCCGCGATAGCAGCCACAGACTGACAATTTAAATGCGAGCACAGCACGCAGTATATCCTTTTACGACCAAAGATTACATTCACTCCAAAAAAAATCTTCCACTTACGGGCTATTCATGCCCGTGCCACCTCTTGGGTAGCTTAACCTTCATCAATCAATCACAAACAAGGAACAACGATTTCAAGTTCAACAAGCCACAACTTAGAACAGAAAACAGATTTTTTTTCAACCATGTGGGGCATAACAATGCACAACTACCAAATCATCAACATTATCTTGGAGTCAGAATCCACCAATCACTGATAGTTGTACAACAAGTGGAAGCTGCAGTTATAAAAGCAAACCAAATCCTTTGGAATAGTCAAACGAAATTTTGACGAAGGAAAAGGTAGTTATACAACTGTATAAATCTCTGGTGTGCTTCCACTTGATTATTATATCCACGCATTGAGACCTCATCTTCAGAAAGACATATCTGCTTTGGAGAAAGTTCAACACCGGACGACTAAAATCTTTTCCGAACTAAGTCGACTTTCATACCAGGGATGGTTGAGGGCCATAGGGACCAGAAATGACAGGGCTGTTCTCAGCAAAACTTTTAAATTACTGAATTATTTGGAAGATATTGACCCAGAACACTTCTTCAAAAGGCTAGATGTAAGACGAACAAGGAGCAACGGTTTCGAGCTCAACTAGCCACACTGATGGATGAAAAATATTTGTTTTCTCCTATAGAATTATACAGTTTTGGAAACGCATACCCGCCGAAGCCGTAACTGCCAAAACATTGGCATTTGTTTGGCCCCAAAACAAATGGGAGGGCCCTTCGACAAGCCAACCTTCCTGTCCTCGTCGAGACCACTAGAGAGAGATACCTGAATTTGCCCGAGGGCCACCCTTGAGTAAATTCAGGGAAACCATGGAACCACAGTAAAAAAAAAAACATTGCTCGATAAAATCACCAGGTCAAATAGGGGACATTTGACAAGCCGCCGGCTTCCTATCCTCACTGAGAGATAGTGACCCTCTGGTAAATTCAGGTAAATCTTAGCTAATTAAATAATACTGAAAAGTTTGCATATTGAAGGGAGTGCTGTGTTTGCAGCATTATACTCTCTGAGCAAAGTAATGCACTGTTGCCCTCCAACCCAGATGATGGGCACTGGAACCCATGCCTGTGGACCTATACTTACAACCACGTTCTCGTCTGTGGACCCTCAAGGACTGACCGGGCGCCAGTCCTTAACTGTTCACCCAGCAGAGAATAGGTTGTTAAACGATTTGGCTGGTCATATTCCGAGGGAAAAATTAGGATTAAGGACCTACCCGAAACGCTATGCGTGTTATATAGTGACTTTACAAGAATTTAAAAACTCTTTATATATATATATATATATATGTCGTACCTAGTAGCCAGAACGCACTTCTCAGCCTACTATGCAAGGCCAAATTTGCCTAATAAGCCAAGTTTTCATGAATTAATTGTTTTTCGACTACCTAACCTACCTAACCTAACCTAACCTAACTTTTTCGGCTACCTAACCTAACCTAACCTAAAGAGATAGGTTAGGCTAGGTTAGGTAGGGTTGGTTAGGTTCGGTCATATATCTACGTTAATTTTAACTCCAATAAAAAAAATGACCTCATACATAATGAAATGGGTAGCTTTATCATTTCATAAGAAAAAAAATAGAGAAAATATATTAATTCAGGAAAACTTGGCTTAATAGGCAAATCGGGCCTTGCATAGTAGGCTGAGAAGTGAGTTCTGGCTACTAGGTACGACATATATATATATATATATATATATATATATATATATATATATATATATATATATATATATATATATATATATATATATATATATATATATATATATATATATATATATATATATATATATATATATATATATATATATATATATATATATATATATATATATATATATATATATATATATATATATATATATATATATATATAGGGGGTACCACCTCTGGTGCAATTATAGGG